GCAGGAGGACTTCGATTTACAGATTTTTACTGCACCAGTCCGGTCTGCAGCCCCTCTAGGTACCCCACCGCCTTATGACAAGGTGGTCAACAAGCAATTTATTGTACTAATTTGATAATATAACAAGTGTTTGGGATACCAATTCTGTCCCGTTCTGCAGCTTTAATTTCCCTGCATTATTAAAAGATGTCCTACTGGATTGCATTAACCAACTACCTCAATTTCATTGCTTGCTTCTCAGAGCATCGTTGCTGACAGGTCGCTACCAGACCCGCTCAGGCATCTTTCCAGGTGTATTTTACCCAGGCTCCATTGGGGGTCTCCCACTGAATGAGACCACCATTGCAGAGGTGTTGAAACCTTTGGGTTATGCCACAGCTGCTGTGGGGAAGTGGCACTTGGGCTATGGAGCCAATGGAACATTTCTTCCAACCCAACAGGGGTTTGACCAGTACTTGGGAATCCCATACTCTCACGACCAGGTTAGAGTTTCAAAACCCAAAAAAAAAAAAAAAAAAAAAAAAAAAAAATTACATTTGAAATGATCTGTATCTAAATCTGCTTTTCTGCTTTTCTCTCAGGGGCCATGCCAGAACTTGACCTGTTTCCCTCCAGATGTAAAGTGCTTTGGACTTTGTGATGTTGGAGTAGTAACCGTCCCTTTGGTCCATAATGATAAGATCAAGCAGCAACCAGTCAACTTCCTTGATCTGGAAAAGTCATACAGCGACTTTGCAACCAATTTTATAATCGCATCTGTCAAGAAAAATCAGCCTTTCTTTCTCTACTACCCATCACATGTAAGTAATAAAACAATGTGAGATTTGACAATAATCTTTTTCTAGTACACTTTAGTTATGTTGCAGACAGTGAAAGGGTAATTAATATAACTGTCTCTGAATCACTAAATAACTTCAGTGACTCAAGCCAAGAAGTTTATTTTGTATGATTCTAGATTTATTATGTGTCTGTTACAAATCAAACGTGTACTTTTTACAAGAAACTCATTGGTTTTTCTGTCATTTGCCTAGTTTTTATGTTGCCTCCATAAAACTCTTAATAACATCAAAACACAACTTTTTCTTTTTTATATATATTTTTATGCAGGCTTAGCTTCTTGAGTTTTTCCTCTTCAGGTGTTTTTTTTTTTCTGTTTTGAGAGTTTGCTCAAACTAAAGATAGTATTATTCGCTCACATTTAACTGCAAGAGTGTTTTACAATTCCAGCAGGACCAAATGTATTTTAAAATCTGTAGTTTTTTCTAAAAACGTAGTATTTCGTATTTTTTAGCTATATTTGGATTATATTTTCCATCATGCTTTTTTTTTTTTTTCAGCACACTCACTACCCTCAGTATGCTGGTACCAGAGCAGCAGGTCACTCTCTGAGAGGTCCATTTGGTGACGCCCTCTTTGAGTTTGACAGCACAATAGGAAACCTAATAGCGACGCTGGAACAGATGGGCGTGATCAACAACACACTTGTGTTCTTCACTGCTGACAATGGGTTGGTCGGTTGTTGTGGTAAAGAAATGAAAAAGAGTAGAGATGTTAAAGACATGCACCTTTTTTGCAGATATTTTACAGTAATACAGAAGTACCTGTCCTTTTTCTCTTACTGTGTTTAAAAAAATGCAACCCACTGTTGTAGTAAGTCCTGAAAAATGTGACAAGGACTCGCCTTTCATTTTTGTCGTTGTTTTGAGCGGTAATGTTCATCTCTCACTTGAAAATGGTTTAGGAATAATATAACTCTCATGTACTGCTAAGGCAGATCCGTTAGGGAGGTAGAGTGATACATTAGATGGCTTTTGCTCTGTTCTGAGAATCGACTGATGAACTTAGCCACATAAAATAACTTGAACAAATGATTAAAAACATGTTCTTGCAGCATAGCTGAAAAAAAAAAAAACATTTCAGGAAGTTTTGTGCTATGAACTGACAGACATACTTTTTATAGAGCAAGAAGGAGAAGTGAGACCCTCAAAACATGTGATTTCTAATGTTACAGCATCACTTGCACATTACAGAAGCAGTGATTACAAACAGAGATCTGTTCTCCTGTGATGTAACCCTGTCTACCCACATCATTTTTGAAGAGACTGAAAACTTGTAAACAATCTCAGCAATGTTTGATATAATTAAACAGAGTATTATTTCTCTCTCTCTCTCTGTGTGTGTGTGTGTGTGTGTGTGTGTGTGTGTGTGTGTGTGTGTGTGTGTGTGTGTGTGTGTAGGCCTGAACTGATGCGTATGTCGCGTGGTGGAAACTCAGGCCCACTGAGATGTGGCAAAGGTACAACATATGATGGAGGCATGAGGGAGCCAGCCATTGCATTCTGGCCAGGGGTCATCAGACCAGGTAAGGACAAACTACCTCTTCTCACCTCTGATGTTTTTCTGGTTTTAGTCACACATCATAAATTACCTTAATGACTATATTTATGAGCACACTGCTCATAAATATAGTCATTATATTTTTTTTTGCCAGGAGGCTTAGTAACGTGGCTTTATGGCCCTTTGACGTCACCCCCTTCACTCGTGTCTTTGTTTTGACCATTGTTTTGTCTGAATGTTGCCATTTGCCCTAATGTGTCCTTTCCTCTTGTTTGTTTTTTTTTGTTTTAGGTGGAGTACTCTCTATTTAACCCAGAAAATGATTATTTTAGTTTATTAGTAATATCAGAAATTGTGGAGTACGCACTATTTAGATCAATATTATACAGCCCATAAATGGAATCAGAATTAGAATTAGAATAACTACAAACTTGAAATCCAGAAATACTTAACAGGAACAGTCACTGCTTAGTTTATATTACTTTTAACCCAGAAAAGGATTTAGAACAAACTTAGAATTGCGGAGTACTCACTTTAACCCAGAAAAGGAATTAGATCAGTCACTCTTTAGCTTATTTTATCAGAAACTCACTATTTAGAAATGGTATTAGATACTTAGCAACCCTGAACAGGAGCACTTAGTTTACATACTTTAGAACAACAGTAGATTATTTTTCTTTCCTTTTTTTCTTTCCTTTGGTTTGTTATTTTGTTTGTGTTTCCTGTTAACTCATGTAAAGCACTTTGAATTGCCTTGTTGCTGAAAATCTGCTATATAAATAAAATTACCTCACCTTACCTTACTGCTAGGGTTAACTTTGTTTTTATCTTCTTAGTCATCTCCTGTCACTATGAAAGCATTTATTGTAATGAGCCTGCAGTCACAGCGGCTCTGTTTCTGGACTGTTTCCGTTAAGGGGTGACCCATGAGATGGCCAGCACTCTGGATATCCTCCCAACCATTGCGAGTCTGGCTGGAGCCAAGCTTCCCCCGGTGATACTGGATGGGTTTGATATGACGGATCTCCTCTTTCACAAAGGAAAGGTGACAGCTGTGTCCTCTTGTGTTCTTTAATTAGAAAGCGATTTTTAAACCAGGCTGACTTAAGCATAATATGTGTCTTTGATCTCATTCTCTGTTTTGCAGAGTAAAAGGGAGGCAATGATGTTCTACCCCATAGATCCTAATGAAAAGTACGGCCTGTTTGCTGTAAGATTGGGAAAGTACAAGGCCCACTTTTACACAAGAGGTAGAACCCAAAGCACACAGAGTATACTGGGTGTAAAGCAATTTTTTGTGTGAAATATGAATGGCTTCATCAGTCTGTTTAAATAATGACTTTTAGTCATTGATTGTTAATGTATCCCACAACTTTATTCAAAAAAGGTTTAAAAAACGGGACCGTCAATGTGCGTGAATTATTTACTATTCGTACTAGACAGAAATCTAAATAAATTACACCAAAATCCTGGACACAGTTAAAATGTAAAACCTTCAGAATTGTACAGCTCATTGATTTGCACGTTTTATATCTGTAAGTGTTTGGTTGTATTCTGCTGTGAGTTAACAAATGGAAAAGCTTCATCTTTTCTCATACCATCTTATATTTAGAAACATGTCCACTTGATGTGCACAATCCTTTATTTTAATGAGCTTTACTGAAGGGGGATGTTGAGAATGTTGCTATAGACGTCAAAAGCTATAGAAATGAAGAATAAAGCAGGGATGTCAAAACATGTCCAAATCATTCTAAGGTCCATCTGTGATCCTCAAAAAGGTTTTTTCCTGCTAGCAGTATTTGCAGAAAGATGTTAATTGGGATAATATTTTGACAAATAAAAATGTTCTTAAAATGGTAAATATTATTTATAGCACAAAGTATTTGTCTGTTCTTAAACATATGAAGTAGGTATCTTCAATACAATAGCATTTTTTTAAGAAAGAAAAACCCAAGAGTTATGCAGTTAATCTGAAACTTGCTGATTTCTTTTACTGTTTTTCCCCATTAGGCGCCACCCACAGTGCTACCACCCCCGACCAAGATTGTTCTGATTTTGCGGTCCTCAAGGTCCATGATCCACCTCTCATTTTTGACCTGGAGGCCGACCCCTCGGAGCACTACCCTCTTCCTCTGGACGAGAGACCCGACATCCAAGCCGTGCTGGTGCAGATAAAGAAAGTCAAGGCGCAGTTTGAGGCGACCATGGTCTTTGGAGAAAGCCAGATATCAAAGGGAGAGAACCCGGATCTTGAGCCCTGCTGCAGTCCTGGGTGTAGCCCCAAGCCCACCTGCTGCCACTGCTGATTGGTGGCTTTGGGGGTGTTTGTGAAGACAAGGTGGGAGGAGACATATTTCACTGAATTGATCCTAAAATCTAAAGATCAGAGGACATTAAGGTCATGTGGGGTTTTGCACTAATCATACTATAATATTTTCCTCAATGAGGAAATTTTCTTCTAATTAACATTGATGTCTTTTAGTACTGTATGTTTCCCAACTTGAATACAAATGTTTGAATATTTGTACAAAAATGTTCACCTTAACATTCCTACATAATAAAATTTATGTGAAGCTCAATAAAGACGACAAAAAAGTTTCAGACATCAAGCATATATTTTATTCATAAGACCAAACCCATGACAAGGCAGAGTGATTTTTTTGTTGTTGTTTTTCAATTTTTCTTAAGTTTTCCTTGAATTTTTTAAAGATACAAGATAGGTTATGTTGGCTTTTTCCACATACTGTTTTTGCTCTAGGTATACAGTGATGAATCTTGAAGTAATAAAGTCAAAAGTTTGGTTTAACTGTATTTCTCAGTGGCTATATGGGACTAGACCATCCACAAAGGCTGTTTTAGTGGAGCTGCTTTGAAGAGAACGGGGTTTTTAACTCGGCTGGAACAAGATAGAAAACGTAGTCAGAAGCGAGTAGATACATAGATCAGAGATGGATCACGCTGTTTTTGCTCAGAGGCGATGACCACAACGGGCAAGACGCGATACGATAGTTTTCCAGTGGCATCTGAGTATCTGAGTGGGTTTAACTCCACTGTTAACGTGGTGCGGAGGGTCGCTCTCGCACTCTGGTGGCCCCACAGCTCACAGATGTGCCCTAAGTGTGCTGCCGAAGCCTGTCTGTGTAGAAACTATGGAGCCAGCAGGAAAGTTCCACCTGAGTGGCGAAACGTAACACATTCAAATTAAATTATTGCAGATCACGTAGATTTAAGTCTTTTCTTTGTTTTTAGGGATTTTTGTCTGGTTGTGATCTTTTTTTTTTTAAATAATGAATTTTTTAAATCATTTTACATACTCATTTTGTCAACATACTCAACATAAAGGACACAGCACTTAGATTTTCTATTGTATATACATGACCTAACTGACAGCGATATATATGTAGATAAAACCCTCACCCCTGCCATGTCGACATATACCACTGAAATCCTTCAGGTCGGGAGTGTGTTCTTTATCATGACTGAACGTAGCAGAGAAAGACGCGAAATATCTGGCTAAGATAACAAGAGCAATGTTTGCCGCTGGAAGCCTGAGTTTCAAATAACAGATGACTGCGGTGCCCGTTTCGTTTTTAGGTGTACCTCCGTCTTCTCCTATCTAAAAATATATGTTTCCGCAGTGTCAACACCGGCGGAGATTATTGAGTGCATTGTTTCATCTTTAACAAGCCTAGAAGCATTAAATAAATACGGGGAACCGGTGACTATTTTGTAGTTTACACGACTATAAAAACTCTCTTTGAAGCTCTAAGAAAAGGTTAGATTTCACTGACACCTGGACCAAGCAATAGCAGTTTACTGTGTCACTGACATGCAGCCACTGTTCGAACTAGTCTCTTTCCGAAATTTCAAAATAAAACAAAATGTTGGCTAACACATCACCCAAAACCACGATAATTCAGTCAAAACATTGAGAATATGGCTTGTCGGGGGGAGGGAGGGGGGGGGCGTCCAGCTATCTTTGACCTGAAAATCACATACTCTCCAGCAAAGCAGATTTTGCAGGTTTAATTGTGAGATTTCGTTTGTCTGGCTCAAATATGCCACAATCTAATTAATAAATATTTTATTTGATAAATATTTAAAATATGATCATATAAGTATTTTTTAATTATAAATGTAATAATTAAATCAATAAACGTGTCATATATTAATGTGTCAATAATATATTAATACACAAATCTAAATTGAAACCATTAATAAAAAGTAATTAGTTTTGTGCCAAAATAAATATTTATTTTATATTTCCAGTGCTACAGTTCAAGTTGAAAAAAAAAATATTAAGAATAATACTGAAAGCAAGAATAATAATAACAGGCTGCACAGTGACACACATAGCAGCACTGCTGCCTTGCAGCAAGAAGGTCCTGGGTTCGAATCCCGGGGTCTTTCTGCTTGGAGTTTGCATGTTTTACCTCTGCATGCAGACTCTCTGCATTGTCCTGCCCCACTGACCGCTGGAGATAGGCACCAGCACCCCTCACAGCCCCACTAAAAATAAGCATGTTAGATAATGTATGGATAGACAATAATAACAGTATTATAAAAAGATTATCGATGATAAATAGATTTATAAAAACAAATCATGTTATTACTCTGGATAGTCTGTAATGTCTAAATGATTAACGACAACAACGGTCATCTTGCCTGTAGCAGTGTTTGTTCCTGTCCTTCGATGGGTTAGACAGGAAGATAAAAATAAATTCAAGGGGTCCTGAAAAACAGAGCTACAAAGCTAAATGAAACAGACTCTAAGATAATTACATATCCTTTTAACATATAATAAAAGCAAACTTCTAAGTTTGAATTTGTTAAAACACTGAAAATAATACAAGATATATTTGTTAATTAATGCATTTATTTTTCTTTGAATTATTACGTGTATAAATATCTACAAAACAATGTATTTATTAATTGAATTGTGGCACTTTTGGGCTTCGGTAAATTTGCCATGAAAGCTACTTGTGGTAAAACGTCAACAAGCAAGACAACGGTCAGGTCAGGACAGGAGGGAAAATCAATGCTGTTATGTGATTCAGACAGTTACTGGATCTAATCCAATGTGAATAAAATATCTGCAGAGCTAATAGCATTAAAAGTTAGTTCCAAGTCAACTTTTCCAAGCTTATTCCACTTTTACATCTGGTGTTTTCCCATCAGAGCAAGCCATTGTTTCATTACTTTTTTTTTTTTTTACCCACATTGAAATCTATAGCAAAATCAGTCCCGTCTGTGTTCCCAATCAAATTCAATGAGGCAATGTATGTCTGTCTACTTTCTATACACGTATTTACAACACACACTTCATCTTGTACGAGACGCAGGGAGTAGGTTGAATAAAAGAGCTGCTAACTTTCTCTAATCGACTCCAACATTTTCTTCAGTACAAAGCAAGTTAGCTGTTTAAACCAAAAACAAAAAAACAAACAAAAAAAAGATATTTACAAACCTTTTGATTCTACACCATTCCCTTACGATTATTGAGCTGCTTATCATTCACTTGGATATGTGTATTTGTTGGTGTCAGTGTGCAGCAACCCTACCAGCCATGCATTGAGAAGTGATACAGCCGTAGTAGGTATAATGTAAGTTCAAATCAATAACTTTGTTTAAATAAACAGGTGCTCAGCTTTTTAGTTTTATATCATAGAAAAAAAACGGTAAAAGAAACAGGCAATCAGGGAAATCAACGGGAAAATGGATGAATGAAATCAGTCTAATAAATAGCTTACTGTAGAAACGATGATCCCAGTTTGAGAAGGATGCAGGAAAATATTTTACAGTGATCCTGGAGGAACGTAAAGAAAAGTAAAGAAAGACTGACAGTGTCCTCTGGTGGAAAACTTAACCAATGTACACAAGCTGTAGAGGAAAGGGGTCGTAATGTGAGCTCCGTCTACTCCAGGTAGATGTCTTCGGTAGGGCAGGCGTACTCCAGGTGTTCTTGGTAGTACTCTTGGAAGGCTCGACTGCAGAAAAAAGAGAAAAAAAAAAACAGACATGGGGACTGGTGTTGCATTTTAAAATTCGCTTTACAGTTGTGGTCAAAAGTGTACATACACTTGTAAAAAATCATCATGTTATGGCTGTCTTGAGTTTCC